TACAAGGGAAAACTCGATGGTTTTCCCTTGTATGGCCGTGGCCCCGCCCCCAGCGTGCCTGGCGTCCTCCCGTCACTTCTGGGTAATGTGCGTGCAGCGTGCGCACGCACTGGACGCTGGCCAGGAGCCCCCCCGCTCCCGACGAAGAATACACTTGGCAACCCTACTAGCATGCCCAGCATTTGCCGGCACCCATTAGCTTTACACAAGGCAATAAATTACTTAAGGCAACAAGCCAACAAGCTATAAACTTCTCTTTACATTCAAAGAGAAGGATTTTCTCAGCTTTCAGTTTTGCCCAGCTTTTGGTTTAAACAAGAAAGCAAAAATAGCCAAAAAATGGTAAAGACTGGGTGTTTAGTTTGCAGAATGTATGTATGTATGTATCTAACTTTTCAGGCAATATAAAAATCACAAAACAAGATAAAATCATTCACAGCTATGTGCTGTCAGAAGGTAAACAGAGCAGAAGCCTCAGATTAGCGCTTGGGGGGGGGGGCTTAGAGTGCTTTTAACCACATCCAGTTAAGACGGAGAGAAGCCAGAGAAGCCAGAATCATGACGGAGCCGAAACCATAGGGCAATAAAATAGTGCAGACAGCAGAAATTATAACAGTGCAGTAGGAGAGCGAAACCCAAAGAGATGTGGACATCTTTTTGGGAGACGGAGCAAGACTGTAGCCGAAGCAGCGGAAAATACCAATGCAGATTCCACCTCTGTTGGCATTTCATGCCGCATCCGTTCTCCTATTGTTTTGTCTCAGCATCAGCTGTCTGCATCATTTTATTGCCATTTAGTGGTGACTCTGTGGTCACTATGGCGTCTCACCACATTATCTGGATTTGGTTTTAAGCCGGTTCAACTGCTCCCTCCCACCATCTCACCTCTGTGAGCGATAAGCAGACAACCGAAGCCAAATTCTCCACCCTCCTTTCTAGCCACCAGGTGGCAGTCATTTCTCCCCTTATCAGGGGAGTGGCATCCTGCATCGAGCTATGCAATGCAAGAAACAGCTGTTTAACTTAAACATTGTTTAATTTGGTGCGATCATTATTTTTGGGGGGTTGGAAGCTCTGACTGCCAATCTCTGTGTGTTTCGTGTTTTGTTACCCATCTCATTCTGCCATTATTCCTGACCCCCCCTCCTCCTTCAGCAGGTCACCCTCTTTAGTTTCGGGGGGGGGTTTTCACTGGTGCCCTTTCCTTCATGCAGCACAGTGCTGTGCCCTGCCGGTGCCCCCACTCCCCCCTTGCACACCCTCCCTCTCCCACACGTTGTCATGGAGATGAGCAGCAGCTGCTGCTTGCAAGATTGCGCCTAAGGTCCCCGAGAGGGGAGGGGGTGCCTGGCCAGGTGAGCCCAAACTCGGCCTGACTGGGAGAAGGGTGTGTTGCCACCCACTCCACCTCTCTGGGGCCTAGGCACTCCGGTGTCACGGGCTGGGCTTGGGATGAGAGGCAGAAGTCAAGTCTGGTCCAAGGTCATTGCCAGGAGAGTCAGAGTGAGAGCCAAATCGTGAGTCCGAAAGAGGGGTCGTCCAAAGAAGGGGTCAGGGAGCCAGGAATCTGAGCCAGAGTGGGGGTCCAAGGACAGGAGCCTAAGATGGATCCAAGGCATGCACGGAGGCGACTCGTTGCTCCCACGAGAGCTCAGCTGAGTGGGAGTTATATAGGCTTCTGGCCAGGCTTCCCATGGTGCGAGTGGCACTTCTGTTAATACTCAGGACTTGGTGCTCGCCTTCCCTGCCAGCGTGTATCTCGACGGTGGGTGGCTAAGTCTCTGCAGTGCTGCTCCCTTAGCTGAACCACTTATGGAGGTGAGTCAGGTGGGCTCCCTGATTGCACCTGTGCCTCCTCAGCTGCTGCAGGACCAGGTGTGGGGTTTACAGGCTCAGACGCTGGCAAGCTATCAACTTCTGAGGAGTCAGGGGGCTGGCATCTGGTTCTGGCAATGCCGGTGCCTCTGGCTGCAATGCCAACTCAGTGCCATCATCATTGCTCATGACATCCGGCCCCTACACACCCTTCCCTTTTCCGTGGTGTCAACCTTCATGCAGGTGGGGTGTCGAGATCTTCATGAACTACCCCAGACACCCAAATAGTCACCTTTGTAACATGGCAAAATGGGAGGCAAGGGAAGGTGGCGCCACAGTGGAACAAAACAGCATCACACAGCAGATGCAGATTCAGCCTTAGTTGGGTCTGTTCCTGGGGTCCCCAATGTGGTGCCTGTGGGTGTTATGACACCCACTGACATCTTTCTTTCTTGACACTGCCTGGTGTTTTTAGAAACTGGATGGGAACAAATGGAGTTTATGCCAGGCAAGGCTTATGATTGGCCATCGGACATCTGATTGCCTGTGCAGATTTTTTAAAATGCTGGTTTGGCAGTAGCTGCAACCACAGCTCAAGGATCTTCACCGTGGGGCTGAAGGTAAGCTGTGGCAGCCATTGCATGGCAGGCTCTTTCGCTTGTGGCAGCTGTTTTGAGGCTGTGGCCACAACGCTGAGTCAGAATTCCAAAGCTGCCTGAGGGCTCAAAAAGGTTGGGGATCATGGTTTACTCAGTGGGATTTACTCCTAGGAAAGCATTGTTAGGATTGCAGTGCAGACAACTTAGATTTTAGCATCTGCCTTTTAAAATCTGTAAGACTTTTTTAAAAATCAAGCTGCCGGAAGGAACCCTGAATTTTGGCTCAAATATACATTTTGTAAGCACTTTTGACATAATGCCAGATATTACATCCTGAAAACTTTTTTCTTTCAGGCAACTTGACACCTCATCTTCAGAGTATTTTTATAAGGAGTCCAGTTTTTTCCGGAATGGTCCTCCCTGAAGTTCAGCACCCTAAATGTGCAAGGAAAAAGTATCCCAAGCTCAATGGACTACTTGCAGATATGGTTCATGTATGTCAGAAGAGGTCTGAGTATCAGCCTTACTGATTATTATTATTATTATTATTTATATCGTGAGCATAATTTGTAATACAGAGTTTTCAAATCAGTGCTTCATGATCCTGTGCATTTAGTACTGATGTACGGTTCTGTGCCGTGGTATACAGATGCTTTGTTCTTAGTGCTTTTTCCCCTTTCATGGAAAAGTATGTTATTGAATAAGAGCCTCAATGAGATGCCCATACACGTCCATGAGACTTTTAGCAGGACCTATGAAGGTTCATAGCTTTCAATTCTCAGATAAGTTGTTAATTTCACCATTACTCCATATTTGGCAAGTTTATTTTCTGATTCTTCTAGGTGTGGACAGACATCTAGTTTCCATTTTGCTGCATAAATAATTCTAACTGCTATCACCATGTATTTGAATACCTCTTCCAGAATTTTTGTTAATTTTTTAGGCAGTATTACCTAATAGCATAGTCTTAGCTTCCATGGGGAATTTAAATTTTAATATGTTTTGCATTTGTCCATGTATTTCCTTCCAATATATTTTTTGCTTTTTCACAAGTCCACCACATATGATTTTGCATCCGTTTAATCATATACTTTTTCAATTGTTCCTCTTCTGTTTCTAGCTGAAGTAATAAGTAGTAAATGATCTTTTGTTTTGTAATCAACTGTTCGAACTCAGTCGCATCTCTTGGAGCTCCACCTTCCACATTAATAATCTTCTTTAGTCTTGAAACTGATTGATAATATATCAACTGTTGAATATTTATTTCTTCATCTGTAAAATTTTGTCAAGACTTACCATACATTAAAAAATCATTTTATTGGGGACATAAGCAGAGAGTTTGAAGGGCTCCAGCCTATTTCTTGAAAGCTAGAAAGGGTTGGCGTGCCATTGCCACTTCAGTCCAGCAACAAGCTCCCCCCCCCATCTTGTTTCAGCTTAGATCTGTGCCTGGTCCAAGCAAGAACTGATGCATGAAGGCGAGGGATACTAGATGATAGGTTAGAGACAAGGGTCTCTCCTTGTTGTACTGGGCTATGTCTGGTTCTGCATACGCACTATACATAGGCTGAATTATGGCACATGCCTTTGCCACTCTTCCTGGATCTTGATGATTTGGTGAACACAAATGCCTTTGCAGGCATTTGGCAGGGTGAGGTATGCACACACATATATATAAGTGCAGTCGGTATTCATTTCCTCATATCAAGAAATGAATGGCGACAGCAGTTGTTAAAAAGAGAGAGAGAAACACACATTCCACTCTTTTTCAAAGAAGATTTAGAACAATCTATTTATTTATTTATTTATTTACATTTGATTTATATACCGCTCATGACCCCTAGTGGGTCTCAGAGCGGTTCACAGAATACTACGGAGTAGTAGGTAATCCTATCTAGGGCCACAGTGTGATGAGGGGAGGGGAGACCTACCAGCACCCTTTTTCTTTCCGGCATAGACTTTTTTCCTTCTCTTGCGGCTTCATTGTTGTTCCGGTACTCCAGCTGGCAGTCGGTCAGGCTCAAGCAGGCAGTCCCGATTTTTCTTCTCCTCAGAGCGGCGCGCCCCGGGCTCAGCTTCGGCCAATGTCCTGAAGGCTCCTGCCGCGCTGCATCCACGTCATTGCTCCGCTCGACTCCGACTCCGCCTCTGCTCGACCAGCCGCTGCTTTTTTTTTTTTACTGGGTTGCTTCCGCCGCCATTGCTTTCTCGCCACCGCCACCGCCAATTCTTCTCTCCTCATCTCTGCTGGTCGCCCCCCCCAGCGTAAGCCAGGAGGAGGGTGCCCCCTGCCACCGAGGGCAGGTACCCATTCCTCTGTTGTTAATTAGAGCCGCTGGGTTGGCGGGAGCTGAGACGGGGGCTGGGGGCTCAATCCGGCCGCGGTGGGGATTCGAACAGCCATTGTGGCTGTTCGCTACAGATGTTTACAGCAGGCGTTGTATTGCCTGCGCCACCGCTAGTGCTATTCAGTAATAAAATCTTTAGCTGGAAGAACATAAATTTCATAAAGTATAATAAGCTGATTTTCTCCCCTGTCAGCAGCTACATAATTTCAGCATGCACATTATTCTCTGCATGTTATCTTGAATAAATTGCTTTCAAGTGGAACCTATCCATTAGCATCTTTCATCAGCAACAGAGATCTTTTATGTGATTTTTTTTAGTTTAAAGGAAAATGGGATTTAATAACTTTATTGAGCAGCCATTAAGCATCAAGAAGGGCTGTTCTTGATTCTGAAATGGCTTTATCATGCATCAACACAGCCAGGCAGGCCACATCGGAAATGAAATTATTAACAGTGGTGTGACTGAATTTACAAATGTAACTGTTTACATTCTAGTTACAACAATAGCATATTTGTGGAGGGGTGATACACAGCCGTATTGTGCTGATGCAGTGCTCCTCCAGTAAGCAGTCAAGCCCTGCCAAACCTCAGGCATACCTGGGAGCTGGGGTATCACGTAGTTTCATGGCTGCTCAGCTACTGAAGCAGTTGTGATTTAGCTGAGATGTCACTTTAGTTTTTCTGACCATGTTATGTCAAGGTGCTATGGAATTGCTGCACTTTAACAGGGAGCTACTGCAACTTCTCAAACTGGTCATACCAGCTTTAGAGGCCATGTATGACTGCTGGGGATCTGGTATCCTGACTCCAAGATATGGCGTGAATGTGCCAGGGATCAGTAGCCTGAGCTGGCATTGGAAGCTCCTTCTAAATTATGAAGCATAACATATCAGCCAAGCCTAAATGTAATCAAATGGCAACCACGGCTGTGTGTAAGAAATCAGTCAGTGTCTATATTCCAGTGTCATGTTGGGCTTCCCTTTATTGGTCCTTGCACTATCGTAATTTCTTATTAATTTTCTCTCCAGCATTCCTGAATATCATACTTTTTAACATGCTTCCAGGCAGAGTGTCTTGGCTTGAAACAAATTTGAATAGCAAATTATGCACAGATTAAAGAAGGAAGTCCAACAAAGTAATGAATTGTTTAATGGCAATGCTAGGCTCCCTTGTAACAAGGTGTAGCACACTACTATCATTCATATTTAACCGAAAGACTAAAGTACTTGATTCAGCAAGAAATAATGAGGCTTGCAATAATAAATGACTCTTAGTTACAGCTATCCTCTCGTTAGCACTAATGTACTTGCTTTCAAGGAAATGAAGGCTCTTGTTCAGTCAATGAAAGGTCAGTGGAGCCAAGGCTTCTCTGAGTGGCTGAATGGATTCATCAGCCAAATGATTGCTTTATCCATAAATGACCATGTCATGGCAACTTCAGTTTGCTTCAGCACAGTTCTGCTGCATCTTAACCATTGCTGCCCATACCAACAGATAATGTTCTATGCAAACAACGTAATTTAGATGATTGGATGTTTTGTGTTAGATTTTTGCAAGTGTTGAGCTGAGTCCAAGAATACTGATTATTTGTGCTCAAAAACACAGTAATGTTTATGTGTTAAGGAATAAAGGCAGTGTGAAGCCATCTGCGTATGGGAAGGCAGCCCTGCTCTGATTTTATTGCTCTATGGCTTTGAGCTGTTGTACTTGCAGCGTCTCTCCGGCTTAACCGGATGTAGTTCAAACCACTTCAAGGATTCCTCTCAGACCCAGCTGGCACCAATGGGAAGCAAGCTGTGAATGAAGTGAGATGCAAATGGAAGCAAAGGTTAGGAAATTGCAACCCTGTAGATGCGTGTGGGGAGCTTTTTTTATGAGCTAGATTTTATGGATGGCAAAAAGGTTGATTGGATAATATACTAATACTCCTGAAATATTTGTAAAATAACAGGGACACTATATAATTATATATTATATAATTCCAAACTTTATTATGTGGATTTTATCACTATATGATACGATGTATGATTACAGAAATCTTGTGTTCTAAAAGAATCTCATCATTTTGCAGGCTTGTTTGCAAATGGACCCTGCAGATAGGATTTCCTCTGCTGATTTGCTGCAGCATGAATATTTCACCAGAGATGGGTTTGTTGAAAAGTAAGCATTTGGAGTCAAGTTTCAGAAGTCACTTTGAAATCCTTTCAAGATTATTGGCTTTTTGCATGATAGATGTACTGTTGCTGTTTATTTGTTGAGGGATCAAAACAACTTCATCTAGGGGGTTAGCACTTTGTTGCTGGGATACTGTGTATGCTCTCCATTCAAATCACAATATTTCATGTCATTGCTTTTATAGGCGGAGAGCAACACAAACTTAAGCCAGCTGAATTTTTTTAAAGTCTTGGGCTGATATAGTGGTTAGAGTGTTGGACTGAGATAGCGTTGTTGACAGGTCCCGCCTGACACCTGGCAGGGGATGGAGAGAACTTTCCAGGAGTGGGAGGGAGGCCCAGGGGATGATGCCAGCAACGTGGCTATGTTATTTCTTCTTCTTCTTTTTTAAAAATATTTTATTTATACGTTTTTCTCATGGTATACAGCCATATATTTAAGAATTTCCTTATACTTTCGGAGTCTTTTTATGTCATTTTCCCACCATGTGTACACTCTTGACCATCTTTCTTGAAATACATCATCTTTTCCTGTATTAACATTGTCAGTTTATCCATTTCTGCATTTTCCAGTAGTTTCAAAGCTATTTCTTGTCTAGAAGGTAATCTATTGTTTTTCCAATAATGAGCAAGTAATATTCTTGATGAAGTTAAAATATAAGTTCACAAATATCTATCTTCTGGCTCATAACAGTCTGGAAGAGGAAGCCCCGCGAAGGCCCTCCCTGGCCCCTGGCAGGCAGGGGTGGGGAGAGGCAGGGAGGAAGCAACTTACCCTCCCTCTTCTCCTGCCTCCTCCTGGCCGAATGAGGGCCAGAAGGGTGGGGTTTTTTTCTGTTTCTTTGTTTTTTGGAAGTACAAGACAATTGGGGTGTCCTCCTGACCAGAGCTATGGGAGGTAGCCTGATCCCCCCCGAAATGACCTCTGGGTATTACAAGTTGAAAACACTCAGTATATCTGGGGTTAAATGTTTAAGTTACTCACAGGAAGTCACATGTTTCTCATGTAACCAATGTTCTTTAGCTGTAGAATACCCGGGAATTTTCTCCCTTATCTAGGAATTTGATTGGGACTAAAGTGTCAAGGTGTATTAGCATTTTATGGCTCTCTTCCCGTCTTTGTTTGGTGTTCTGAAGAAGAAGAAGAGTAGCCATAATCTCTCTCTTCTAGTTTTGTCTTTGTAGAGTAAGGAGGTAGCCGATTATGCTCTGTTGTTATTTTCATCCCAGTTACCCTTCCCATGCTAGAATTTAGTAAAAACTTTATATTTTAATCACACGTGGACTCTCAGTCTGAATTATTTTACTCTGGCACTGCTGGACTATCTTATCTCTGCTAAATACCATTTTTTCAATATCTCACTATCAAACCCAACAGTAGTTCCACACAGTGATCTTTTGAGGCTGTTGAAAGGATCCCTTGTCTGCATTAAGGGGCAAGTGGAACTGAAACATAGGTTCCTCACAGCACTGCAGATAGTGCTATATTTCCAGATAGTACCAGTGTGAGCCCCCAAAGGCAAGGGTCTACTATGTGTCTACTCAGAAGTAAACAGACTTCAGAAAAGGTCCTTCTCTCCCTGCATTTTCCCTTTCCCTTGTTTTAGCCTATTACTTTCTGTCAAGGCTGATATGAGATGTTTTGTCGCTCCAAACAACTAGTCCTTCTATTTCCTCTTCTTGTGGGAGTAAACTGAGGCCTAGCAGCAACAGAGGACTTGGCTTGGACTTGGCTGATGGTAGCATGGGTCCAGAAAGCAATGATCCATGTGCTTACTTCTTCCCATACTGAGACTAACTAGGAGCAAGCTAAGCCCCCTGCTTTTGTGAGCTCAGGCCCACCGCCAGCCAGCTGGCCATCAGAGGAAAGCCCATCCCAGATATCCCCCAGTGACACTGCTCTACTTTTGGGCAAAGCTCAGTGGTTTGTAGCCATTTTTACCATAGAGTTTTGCCAAAAACAATGTCCTCACCCACTCCCAGAGTGCCCCCAAATCCCCCTGCTGGTAGCAGGTAAAAACCTGGCAGCCCTAGCTCCAGTGGAGCTGCCAGTGTCTTGGGTCGAATCTGCATTGGTATCTTCTGCTGGTTCCACTCCGTTTTTAAAAAATGATGTCCACATCTCTTTCGGATTCACTCTCCTACTGCACCGTTATACTTTTGCTGTCTGCATGATTTTATTGCTCTATGGCTTTGAGCTGTTGTACTTGCAGCGTCTCTCCGGCTTAACCGGATGTAGTTCAAACCACCTCAAGGATTCCTCTCAGACCCAGCTGGCACCAATGGGAAGCAAGCTGTGAATGAAGTGAGATGCAAATGGAAGCAAAGGTTAGGAAATTGCAACCCTGTAGATGCGTGTGGGGAGCTTTTTTTATGAGCTAGATTTTATGGATGGCAAAAAGGTTGATTGGATAATATACTAATACTCCTGAAATATTTGTAAAATAACAGGGACACTATATAATTATATATTATATAATTCCAAACTTTATTATGTGGATTTTATCACTATATGATACGATGTATGATTACAGAAATCTTGTGTTCTAAAAGAATCTCATCATTTTGCAGGCTTGTTTGCAAATGGACCCTGCAGATAGGATTTCCTCTGCTGATTTGCTGCAGCATGAATATTTCACCAGAGATGGGTTTGTTGAAAAGTAAGCATTTGGAGTCAAGTTTCAGAAGTCACTTTGAAATCCTTTCAAGATTATTGGCTTTTTGCATGATAGATGTACTGTTGCTGTTTATTTGTTGAGGGATCAAAACAACTTCATCTAGGGGGTTAGCACTTTGTTGCTGGGATACTGTGTATGCTCTCCATTCAAATCACAATATTTCATGTCATTGCTTTTATAGGCGGAGAGCAACACAAACTTAAGCCAGCTGAATTTTTTTAAAGTCTTGGGCTGATATAGTGGTTAGAGTGTTGGACTGAGATAGCGTTGTTGACAGGTCCCGCCTGACACCTGGCAGGGGATGGAGAGAACTTTCCAGGAGTGGGAGGGAGGCCCAGGGGATGATGCCAGCAACGTGGCTATGTTATTTCTTCTTCTTCTTTTTAAAAAATATTTTATTTATACGTTTTTCTCATGGTATACAGCCATATATTTAAGAATTTCCTTATACTTTCGGAGTCTTTTTATGTCATTTTCCCACCATGTGTACACTCTTGACCATCTTTCTTGAAATACATCATCTTTTCCCTGTATTAACATTGTCAGTTTATCCATTTCTGCATTTTCCAGTAGTTTCAAAGCTATTTCTTGTCTAGAAGGTAATCTATTGTTTTTCCAATAATGAGCAAGTAATATTCTTGATGAAGTTAAAATATAAGTTCACAAATATCTATCTTCTGGCTCATAACAGTCTGGAATAATGTTTAATAAGTATATTTCTGGTAATAGACTGAGATTAGCATTTAAGATTTCTAGTATTATCTTTTTCACCATTCTCCAAAATGTTTGTATTTTTTCACATTTCCACCACATATGAAAAAAGGTTCCTATGTTATTTTTACACTTCCAACAGTTTTTTGAAATCGTACCTGTACATTTAGCAATCTTATCTGGAGTCCAATACCACCTATGAAACGTTTTTATATATATTTTCTTTAAATGATGTTGATTTAAGGAATCTCATTACTTTCCATATTTTTGCCCATTCATCAATATCTATACTATACCCCATATCTTGCATCCACCTTACCATAGAAGGTTCACAACCTCATCCTGCATATAGTTCTCCAACAGAAATCTGTATATCTTTTGAATCAATTTATCTCTGGCTGAGAGCCAAATTTTATCTAATTCATTATTTGATGTATAGAAGCCTAGGTTTTTGTCTTTACTATATATAGAATTTAGTTGCATATTTTCCCACCATGTCAAATGAATGTTTGAGGTTTGTAGCTTTTCTAAGCTCTTTAGTTTACAATTTTTATCTAGTAGTTTATCATAGATCTCTTTCTTGTTTTCAGTTAGTAAAGTGGGTTTAATAAATGCCTCCAATGGGGAAACCCATCTACGAGTTTTTGAGTAATAATTTTCCTTTAGATTTTGCCAACATTTTATCAATGCATTTCTTGTAATGTGCTGATGAAACTTAGAATGAAGTTTTTCTTTGTTATACCACAAATAAGCATGCCAGCCCATGCTAAGATCATGACCTTCCAAGCTTAATGTTCTTGTATCTTCTAGCGTTATCCAATCTTTAATCCACACTGCTGCCACTGCTTAGTAGTACAAGTCCCAATTAGATCAAGCAAGTCCGCCTCTTTCTTTTTTATCTTGTAATGGTTTCCATTTAATTCTTGCCTTTTTAGGATACCAAATAAACCATCTAGTAATCTTATCCATCTCTGTAAATAGTTGTTTTTTCTTCAAAATTGGCAAATTTTGGGCTAGAAATAGAAAACGGGGCAGTATATTCATTTTTATTGTAGCTATTCTGCCCATGAATGATAGTTGAATATCCTTCCATTTCAAAAGATCTCTTTTAATTTCTTCTATAAGCTTTTTATAGTTGTTTTCCATAAGTGCACTGTTTCTATTTGTCATTGTTAAGCCCAGGTATTCCACTTTATTTGACGTGCAATGGAAGTGACATCATCATATTGCAATATCATGGCTTCAACCATAGAGTTTTTGCCCAAAAACCAGAGTGTCCCCTGGGTGATGAAATCACTTCCAGTGTACACTGGAAGTGATGTCACCACGTTGCTGGCCACGTCACCTGGGCCTTCCTCTTTCTCCTGGTAAGTCTTCCTGCCAGCCAGCTGATCAGCAGCAGGGGACCCTTGCCTCCACTGGGCGGTCAGGCAACCCGAACTAAGACCAAGGGACTTAGGTTCAAACATCCACTTTACATAAAGTTTGCTGGATGGCTTTGGTCTAGTTGCATATTCTCTCTCTCTCTCTCTGCCTAACTTTCCTTGTAGGGTTGTTTTGAGGATAACATGGAGAAGGGAGACCCACATAGGCCACCCTAACTGAGGGTGGTACAAATCTTACTAGATAGATTGAGGTTGATTGAGGATATTGTGCAGCAGCACTCATGGCAGCTTCCTGTGCAAGTCGTGAGTTTAAGCCCCAGAAAGCAGGTTTTGTATTTTGTAGAGGGAAAATCAGAAAGGTGATTGTTCCAATGCACTGATTACTCTTTCCGATTGAAAAGTAAGACTGCACCCTTGTTTGGAAGGAAATAGAACATTTCAAGTCAATGATGTAACATTGCCCTGACCTTGATAGACCAGGCTAGCCTGATCTCGTCAGATCTTGGAACCTAAGCAGGGTCAGCCATGGTTAGATACTCGGATGAGAGACCACCAAAGAACACTGGGGTCACTGTGCAGAGGCAGGCTTTGGCAAACCACCTCTGATCGCCTTGGAAACCCTATGGGGTCACCAGAAGTTGGCTGTGACATGATGGCCCTTTCCACCAGCACTATAGTGTTAGATTTAGCTGTTAAATAGACAAGTTTGGGGAAAACCAGTATATTATTTCCCCCCCTCCCTTGAGTTACTCATGTTGTGAAGTATTAAATAACAATAAAAAGAACTAATGCACATTTATCAAATTTGTTGCAAATCTGCTTAGGCGTTTGTTCTGTTTTCTCAAATCTCAAAGGATTTGCTATGACAAAAAAAGAATCCTTGATCTTTGGAATACAACAAATAAACTGGTGCATAATTCATCAAGGCTGAAATTGAACTTGAAGTTTGAATACATCTTGCAATGAGAAAGAAACATTTTGTTCGACACACTCCTTTAAAGGCTTTGCCTTAGGGCCACAACCAAGATGTAGAACAGATGTGTTCTGTTTGGCATACTTTGCAGTTCTGCTAAATATAGAGTCTTCATGAGAAATATGGCAGAAGCTGAAGGGGGGTTGCCTTAAGTATTAACCATATACCCCCTTGCCTGTGTCCTTAGGGTTGCCAGCCCCCAGGTGTGGCCTGGAGATCTCCCACTTTTACAACTGATCTCCAGCTGACAGAGATCAGCTCCCCTGGAGAAAAAGGCTGCTTTGAAGGGTGGACTATATGGCATTGCACCATGATGAGGCCCCTCCCCAAACCCCCACCCTCTCCCAGATCCACCCCCCAAAGTCTCCAGGTATTTCCCAGTCCAGACCTGGCAACCCTACTGTGTCCTGACTTCCTCTGCCCAGCCACTCTGACTCGGAGTCCTCAGGAAAAGAGACTAAGGAAGACTGGAGGGACAAAGGAGGGCCCATCATGGCAAGGGTGCCTGCTGCCAGTGTTCTGGCAGAGCCAGAGGCCCCCTGCCAGATCCTGCAAGGGAAACATCACCACCAGCCCCTGAAAAAACCACTAGGCCTCCACCAAGCAGGATGCAAACCCAGGCCCATATTGACCCAGGGGTCACTCACTCTGCAGGAACAGCGACAGCAGAAGGCCTAGGCCGAGGAGGTGAAGTGCTCTACTGGCTGCATGTAATCCCATCTCAGAGCCAGGCAGTGAGAACAATAATTCTTTGCAGGATCCTGGCCAAAGCCAGTGCAGCTGCAGGAGCTCTGCACCTGCCAGTACAGCAGCTGAGCCTGATTACTTCCCAGCCAATTAGGGTGAGGCTTGGGAAGGCTGCTTTCCTGGGTCAACCGGTCCCCTATGTGCAAGTTTGTGTGCTAACTCCTTGTTTCAGGCTCTAGTCTACATTCTCAAGTCTCACGACCCAAGCCCAAGAGCACTACCCCAAAGGAGACCTGACCAGGCCTGCCTGCAGAGTGTTGGACAGCCTGTAAACTCAGTTTGCACTGTATGTTTGGGGAGTGCTGGTCTTGATGGTGATGACTGATTGTGAGGGATGGGTGTGAATGGATGGGCTTGGTCATGAGACAGACCTCTCTTTCTAGAAGGGGTCACACTAGATGACCTTTGCTTGTATGTGTCTGATGTGAATACGTTTTTCAGATTCTTACCAGAACTGAATGCCAAATTGCTACAAGAAACAAAACAGAGTTGTCTGTCCAAGTTCAGAGACAACAATAAAGAGACTGAACAAATCAAAGATGAAAAGAGAGCAGCTCATATTAATGTGCCTCAAAATGGCCCAGTTGGGAAGGTAAGAGCAATTATAATTTTTGTATTTTTTAACACAATGCAAAGAATTTAGGTTAGAAATATGGCACCCTAAACGCATTAATATTGGCAAAGTAGCTATAGATATCCACAGACTTGTAATTATTGTCCGTTATTAATTACCTGAATATTTTGCTGAACTGGAACAAAAAGGTTTTAGTGGTATTTCCTATTTGTTTCAGTGAGACATACTTAGAAAGGGACTTTCCTGTTCACATTGTTGGAGGGAGTAAGAGTTTTTTGTGCACACATTGCTTCACATGCACAGAGTTGAGCTGTTTCTTTCTCCAGTGGTGGTTGAGTAACTCATTTTTGTGGGAAATTAAGTGGTCACATTGGAGTCCTGTGGAGCTTTGGTTTGGGAGTGGTGTCTTTATGCTGAGGATGCAGGAGGTCAGGCTAATTTTGTATGCTGCAATGATTCTTTGGCAATCCCAGAGGAGGGGGAAAAGCAACAACAAAGTTAAGTTTCAGCTTTTGCTTGAGGAAGATCAGGTTAAATGAAGAGAGGCACACAAACCAATATTGCTGTTTCAGTCAGTCAGGCATTTATTACGGCAGCAAGCCATAGAACACACATGCTTAAATATAACATTATTGCTGTTTCAAGCCAATATCCTTATCAGTCAGAGCTAGGGTTGCCAAATCCGTCTTTGCCGGGAGCGGGGGTGTGCGCGTGTGCACGTCACCCGGAAGTGACGTAGGCGCGCTGGGCATGCTGGTGGCGGGGCCACGGCCATACAAGGGAAAACAATAGAGTTTTCCCTTGTATGGCCGTGGCCCCGCCCCCAGCGTGCCTGGCGTGCCTACGTCACTTGCTAGTGACGCACATGCTGGGGGCGGGGTTCCCCCGGGCCCCAATTCCGCCACATCGGAAATCGGGGCTTCAAAGTGGGAGATTCCCGCCCCCCGCCCACATTTGGCAGCCCTAGTCAGAGCTGTGGGAATTGTGTTACTCCATGATTGTGCCACACAAGCATGGCATTTGGTTTTGGCATCCCCATATAAATATTCTAGTTCAAGGGGTTTCAGGATAGGTTTTAGAATGTGTAAGCAACTCCTGGTAAAATCATGAATGACAAAGCAGTGCTTAGTAGAATTTTCTGCAGTCCAGAATTGGTATGTTAACATAGCACCTATAATTAGAATACTGTATGCTTGATTGCAGGTTGTTTTTGTGCAGCAATTTAGCTTCCTTTGGGATTATAAAGATGTTCCTCAGTGGAAACGACTGCCTGCCTGTAAGCCCGATGCCACCTTCACTGTTTGTTAGCCAGTCCTGACTTTTGGGAAGGCTACCACAGCCTGAATTAGTTATTTGTAGGTCATGCATCTGCTGACACGATCTGAATTTAGCTAGGTGATGTCCAACAAATTAAAAGGACCTGGATAATCTCCCACTAGCAGAGGCTGAAGAGCACCTGGGGCGTGGGTAGCGTTTTACAATACTTTACAGTTTGAAGGATAAACAGCAAAATGAAATGGGAAAATTTGTGGGGAAATGCAATTTGCTTTTAAGAGACCTATCCTTTTTCACTTCAGTAGTACACTGCTACATTGAATGCAAATGTTTAGCATACTCAATATCATTTTTAGGTTGTACTTATATAAAGGTAGTGGATCTCAGACGCTTTACTAAAATGATTCCCCTGTAGGTTTTTTTGTGGCTTGGGTCCATGTGTCAGTTCCTGCACTTAACTTGGCCATAAAAAGCTTGTTGTGCTGATTTTTTTTTAACTACATTGCCTTCAGCGTAACTAGTGGCAAAACCCACAAAAAGTTCGTACTTTCTGTGACAAAGGTTTGCCCATCAATACATTGGTCTTATTGCTGAAGTGAGCTCTGGTCCATGAAAGCTTACACTATGGTTAATTTGTTAGTCTTTAAGATGCCACATGACTTTTGGTTGCACAAACTGAAATGGCTTCTGTGACATCCTCCTTATTGGGGAGGACTAGTTTCACTTTAAAAGTTCACTTTATTTTTCTTTACTGGGTAGATTCTGCTGCCACCAGGAAATTTTAAGGATTTCCAAACCTTTATGCTTTTACTTTGGCTCTTACTAGTTTGGTAGACCGAGTTTAAGGCTTACGAGGAACTATGTGGTCCTGGGAAGTATTTCTTTCTGAGCTGGTATACTTGAATGAAAGAGGATTTATTAAAATAAAGCATAAATAAGAGGGTAGTACAATGTAACTAGTAATGTGTAAATACTGAACAATTGCTTTGGTATCCCACACAATCTTCTCTCTCACTGACAGGGATCTTTGCATGTAACTTTGTAAAACTTGTTTATCTCAATGCCATATATGTTTACTGTTTCACTCCAGTCTGTTATGACCCACTGACTTTCCTATAACTTTTCTTCACTTAAACTTTACTTTACTTTTCTTTTCCTAGACATTCAGCTTTTAGATCTCTTTTCCTTTTTCTCTGAACAACATGAACAGTCAGCCTAACTGCCTCAACATACCACTGTCTGAACATCAACTGTCAACTTGTAACTGTAACTCCTGACTGCCACACATACTCATCCATTCAGATTCACTTCCAAAACCCCTCCCCCTCTCTGTCAACCACCAATCATACCATACTTGCCTCTCTCAACCACTCTAGTCTATCTATCACAGCCATGCAACCAAACTTTTAAAGAGACACACACAGAAACAAGGAATCATTACAGCTTCCCTTCTGAATTTGTCACAGTTTGCGCTGTTCCATGTGGTGATGCTTCCCTTCAGAAGCCCCAATCCAGCACACCAGTAATGGGGCTTCCAGATGGTGGGTTTCTCCGCATTTTCTCTGACATGGTCTCCTTGGCACCCACTACTGCTGTACTATTGGTGGTGGGCTTTTTCTGATTTTTTTTTTTGTTTAACCCAGTAATTACCATACTAATATGACAGTATATTGATATGCCAATTGCTGATTCGAAAAACAAAAAACCTCAACCCCCTGGCTTTGTTTCAGTATTTCCCTAAAAATTGCAGCAAAGCATGTTTGAGAAAGATTGCTGATAAATGGAGGAAAACCTGGGTGGTGAACAGAAGCACAGCTATGCTGTGGAGAAATGGGGGGGACACCCTTCCTGAAAGCATTGACTCCAGGGTAAATCTCCAGTGTGGAAATGGTATTTCTAGCCTAGCAATTCACCTACGAAAGCTACACATTAAATAGTTAAGAAGAGGCCCTAATTTTCTAGGGATGTACACAGTTTTACATTTCAAAAGTTTCACATTGTATTGTATTATTCACATTCCTTTTTATTATTACATATGTTTTCACTACCACTGGTTTCATTTGGGATCAATTCCAGCTGTAACTACTCAGGTTTTCATCCAATCTGGATGACATTTTCAGGGACTGTAGCCTTCAAATAGGATCCTCACTGCCAAGCTTCAGATTGATAGGAGTAAGGGTCCCAGTTTCATAGTCATAAAGTAGCAATTCAAGGCAAAAAAGCAATTCAAGGCAAAAATGGAATTCATTGTTTTTCCTGTTAGTATTTTTTGTTTTCTTTATTATTGCATTTTTACACCAATTCCAGACCACATCTGCTGTGGCCCACTATGACAACTTTACTCATATAAGCAGTGCCTTCTGAAGGTGCCATCCTACAAATGGGTAAAATTGGCAATTGTCTGTTCACATACATTCTCTGTGGTGGCTTTCACCTTGTGCAATGGCCTGCATAGGGTGGCCAAGAAGGCCCCACATTCCTGTTGTTTTGCAAAATGTGCAAAACAACAATGTTCAGGAGGGTATTTTTACAACAGGGTTAGAAAAGTAATTGAACGGAACAGCATGGGAGATTGTACATATCCGTTCCTTTTTATTGCAATCAACAGTACAACAGACTACAATATTATCCTTCGTAGAAGCAGTGTCCTCTACCTTTGTAACTCTTTCTTCATTATGCTATGTCATGCCTTAATCTAGTTTTCATTTGCTTTGTTTCTTCAGGTCTGTCATCCTGGTCCTACAATATTGTTTAACCCTATTTAATTATGGGGGGGTAATGTATGCAGTACTTCAAATGCAAAGGACAGAATGAACAGAATGAACATATAACAAGTTGTGTTCATTCTACCCCATCACTTCCACAGATAAATATACATGAATATTTGTTCAGATGCATATTCAACTGTGCTAGCTCCAGGTTGCTTTGGGGGCCTGCCTGTGAGTTAGAGCCCCAGACTTCCACTCCAGAGTCCTGACCCAATGGCACCATTGTTCCTATGTTCTTCTGTCATGGAACTCAAGTTAACTTAGGCAGGGTTTACAGGTAGTCATCCATGTATCCATTGGCTTTCTTTGCTTCAGCTAGGTGGCTAGCAGTGTCATCCTACTCAAATCTATTCAGTGGGGTTTACTCCCAGGAAAGTGTTCTTAGGTCTGAATTGTAGATCATGCGCTTTCAGATCATACCAATATCAAATACGTATCACTACTGACCTTCATAAATGATGGGAATATTCCATCTTTTAAGTATCAAGACAAAAAAAGAATTGTTTGATGATTGTGTGTATTACGTGTTTCAGGATACTGAAAAGGACAAAAAGGCAAAGGAGATAAAGGTCAAAGGCATCAAAATGAAAGGGGTAAAATCTGAACTCTCAGAGATGAAAAAGACTGAACAAGAAGATACAACTTTTCAGTGGGTTGCTGTGTCTCAGAATGCTCTAAACCTTCCTCATGAAAGCAAACCCACAAGCAATGACGGAACTGCTCTGCCAGCACCTGGCACTGATGTTGGTGGTGCAAAGGAAGATTCTGTACAAGCTTCGTCTATGACAATGCCTCGCATTCACCAAAATTGTGGAAATCTTACCACAAACTTCAGCTCACACTATCTGTGTTCTAACTCAAGGTATGTACTGCAGAAGTAAAGATTAGAAAAAAGAGTGGGAACAGTTTAAGAAAATGCACCTCTGCCATATGTATAGTTTGATTGACACCCTTCTATACCCATTGATTTTGGAAGACTTTGGGTATCACTATATTTATTTATTTATTTCATTATATTTATACCCCGCCCTCTCTGCAAGCGGGCTCAGGGCGGCTTACAACAAGGCACAAAGTGCATACAGTATAAAATAGGTAAAACAGTTAAAATTCAGTACAATCAGGATGCAAGAATAGAAAGATCCAAACATCTTGCATACCAGAAGGGGGGGAGGGCCAGGGCCGTAGATCAGTGTTCCTTCTAAGCTGAGTTAGTGTGAGCTAGCTCACAGTTTTTTAGCCTCTGGCTCACACTTTTTTGTCTTAGCTCAGGAAGGATGGCTCCAGAGCAAACTAATTTATGCAGTGGCCAAATCTCCTCCTCACAACTTTAATGCCAGTAGCTCACAAAGTAGAATTTTTGCTCACAGGGCTCCATAGCTTAGAGGGAACATTGCCGTAGATAGATGTTGTCCGGCGGTATCGCTCTATAGTGGAGCGGTGGTGGTAGTGGCGGCTCCTACTCGAAAGCCTGGCAGAAGAGCTCTGTCTTACAGGCCCTGCGGAACTGCAAAAGGTCCCACAGGGCCCTGATCTCCTCTGGGAGCTCATTCCACCAGATAGGAGCCGCCACTGAAAAGGACCTGGCCCTCGTTGCCACAAGCCTGGCCTCCTTAGGGCCCAGGGTCACCAGTTGGTGTTGTGACCCCGACCGAAGTGCTCTTTGGGGCATATGTGGGGAAATGCGGTCCCACTGGGCTATAAAGTAAAAGTCAGCACTCTGATTTGAGTTTTGGAAGCTGGTTAGTAGCCAGTATAACTCTCTTAGAACTGGCAAGATATTATGTCTGTAGTTTGTACCGGTGAGCAAGTATCACTGCTGCATGTTGTGTCAGTTGGACTTTTCAAGCTATTTTCAAAGGCAGACAAGGTAATATTGTTGTCTAACTGTGACCAGGTTACTCCTCTCAAGGAAGGGACCTAACTTGCGATCTGTTTTTGGTGGAGAACAACCTTATGCAAATCAGGCTGCTTGTAAACTCTGTTCAGATGCACTGTCAACCCATAGTGCTTCAGTCTTAAGTGGATCCACTTACAGTTTATTGGCCCTTATTCCTCCTGTTACTGTCTCTAGGTACCTGTCCAGAACTACTATTATCTATATATCATGCCTGAACTCACAAAATGAGGTGACCTCCTTATGAAATTCTGTTGAGTACTTGATAACAGCAGTACAGTCTTCTCTTTGGCCTGTTTGACCCACTTTCAGATACCTCTCACTGAGCAAGAAGTCAGAGCTGTTTCCTTCTGTCAGTCAGTATATCCAGGGCAACTGTGTGCTACCCCATTTATTGTGCTGACTGAAAGTGACGCATGTCAGTGAAATTTGTGGTTTGCAATATTTTTGTTCTTGTAGATGTGTTGGGTCCAGGCTTTAAAATAGTGTGATTTGGTTCCTAAGCAGAGCAAGTGGGGCTTTGCTAGAGGAAGACAACTTCCCAACCTCCCGTGTCTCACTGCAGCTTTCTCTGCCCCCCCCCAGTTGCACTCCAGTGGGTCAGTGAACCCCAGTCCAGAGAAGGTTCAGGGGCTGTTTAGTAGTTTACATTGGGGGGGGTATTGGAGTTTTATTGTGTTATTTATGTTTGAAATTGGGATTTCTAAGCTGCCTTGAGCTACAGGGAAAGGTGGGGTATAAATATTTTAATAAATAATAATAAATACAGTAGGAGAGAAGAATCAGCAGAGATTCCCCCCCACTCCTGCAAATGGAAATGCTGTTTTGTTGTCATGCTGACAAAATAGCAGTTTGGAGTCCAAGGTCATAACCAGCACTTTGAATTGCTGGTCAGGGCAGCTAAATTAGATCCGGTGTAAGCCTACCAATAGCATTCTTTTGATCATTCAGATTACTTTCAGGAACAATTTTTTAAAAAATCTGCTAAATTTCATAATTGCACACAACTGCTAAGTTTAAATAAACTGTATGCAATTCTTTATTGCAGAGCTGTCTCCTACACTCTTACAAAATGATATTGTGTATTGAATATGTTTGCTTGCTTGGGTTTTAAAGGCATGTTAGGAAGCATTCTGTCCTTATTTAGGAATTAATTTGGTACATACTTTATCTGTCTAATTATCAGACTAGATAAAGCAAAGAAAAGGCGAAGTCCTTGGCCATCAGTGGGACAAGTAGGTTCTAATAACCGTCAAGAGGAAGGGGGCATAAGTCAAGTAAGTGTTCAAATGTTAGTCTTTTAAAAATTAGATTTGCACTTATGCTATTATTCTCGGGAGAGACCTTCAAACTGGGAGCAGGGGAGATAAGGGCCATACATACTGCATTCACTGGCAGCAGATTTGTTTAAACAAATGTTTGTCCCAGTTTCATATAAAATGGGGGGCAGATTCAATGGTCAGTGCAAAGAAGAGTCTCAGGATGCTTTTTACCTTATCCAAGCTCCAGTACCAAACATGTGCTTCCTTGACCCATGCACTCCTTTTGTTCTCACCCTCATTATGTACATTCTCAGGAGAGCTCAGGTTTCAGCAAGTATGTCTACCACAGCATATTTTGGCACTTTGAAATGAGCACACTGAAGTTTCACAGATTTTTTCATCCAACTGATTTCAGTGGTATTTAGGCATGCCTAACTTTCTCTGGATTGCATTCTGTTTCTTTTGTGTTCTTTTGATTTCAGTCATCACAAGAGGAAAGGTTCCATGTAGTATATTGCTGTAGGATAAAAGCCAAATACCAAAATAAAAATTAAAAGGATGGTTTAAAATACCTTCCGATTGGAGCCTTTATATTTGAACCAACACATTCTTGTTTGTTCCTGCAAACCATAGTTCTGGGAGGGGAGAGTGCATATATGAGCCCAAGTCTCGGAACCCAGCTGATGTCTCTTTTTTTTTTACTCCCCCGAAGGGGATTTTTGTTTTTTTTTTGCATTTTCTACACACTACAATTATGGGATGGGGGAAAGGATACTAATACCCTAACACTATTACTATGGGTGATGGGTAAAGGAGATCTAATGCATATATCTACTTGAAAGGGGAAGGAATGCTAACATTCTAATCTAGTTGATCTACTGGATTTGGGGGAAGGAAAAGTCTAGTACATGTCACGATCTGAATAGTTAAAAATAATGCTTTTTAACCTAATATTACATGTTATATCAAGATTTGGTTCAATTTTGATAGTACACATTTAATAGCTTAACACAATTACTGCCTTTAGTGCTATTGTCTTGGTTCTAGAGTCTTTTCTTCTTGCGTTTCTTTGTTTTCTGAAGTTTGGGGGCAGCCTCTCCTTTCTCTGATTCAGATGATTCTGATGATGTGGAATTTTGGCTTGTTGAATCCTGTGAGTAGGATTATTCTTCTTCCTCTTCTTTCTCCAAATCCGGTTTTAAATTCTTTTCCTTCTGCTTCTTTTTTGTATTGATCATTTGATCCATAATTTTTTCCGCTTTTGGAACAGAATCAATTTTATATTTTTTCCCCTAGTAATTGAAGCTCAGCCCTTCTGGGAATAGCCATCTGTATGGTATTCCCTTTTTTTGCAGAGTGAGAGTAAGCATCCTGTAGAGTTTCCTCCATTTTCTAACTTTGAAAGGGATATCTTTCAGAATTTTAACGTCTTCATTTCTGATTTTTAAGGATTTTCCCACTGTTGACTTTAGCACCAGTTGTCTGGTACATCGTTTCATGAATTTTAGATAAATTTCCCCTGGGAGTTTGTTTTTCTTTATAAAATCCAGATAAGTCCCGTAAGCCACATCCATCTCTTTTATTTAATCTTTTTGTTTATAATCCATTAATGGGGCCAAGGTAACGGCCAAAAGTTCTTTTAAATCTTCGTTCTTCTCTTTGGGGATCCCATGGAAATGTACAGCATACATGGTTCTTTCCAGCTGGAGCTATATTAGTTGCGTTTTATCAGAGGATCTTTCCTTCTCTGCTTCATCCACTCTTTTGTTAATGCTCTCAGTCTGTTTTTCCATCTTTTTCAATGTTTTCTCAGTTGCTGTGGTTCTTTTATCCATTTAATTCAGTTGTTTTTGAACATTGTCCAGCTTATTGTTGAGCTTAGTCATCTCCTCCATTAGGGGGCACAATGCATTTGCTAACAGTGAAGAGAAGTCTGTAGTTACTTCCTGGTTCTGGGAGGGAGTTGTTGGTATGTTATTTCTGGTCACCAGTTTTTCCCCCGGCGCCCTCCATCCTCTCCCAGCCATAATATCAACAAGAAGTAAGTTTTCCAAAACAAGACAAAAGTTATGCGATTTGATTCTGCTTTGTATACTTTAGCAATTTTTGTATTTGCTTAACTTCTTATGCATTTGTCTTTTTGTTTCCAATTTAAACCCATTTTTAAAGTTTACTCAAAAGGGGTGGTGGTGCTTGAATTCCTCTCCCCCAGTGCTCCAAACGTAGGCGCTTCCAATTACTACCAGGGTTAGTTCGCTTTTTTCACCTGAGCTTTGCTTAATGCACAGTTTGAAGCCTTGGAGATCTTTTGGAAGCATTTTTAAAAGTTTGATTGTGATCGCTTGCTCTGGCAGTTGTCTCTGGGTGCCATGCTGGCTCCGTGGCGACGGTACCTTTCAGGGAAGAAGGTGAGCCTCAATTCCTTGGCCGTCGCCTTGGAAGAGGCTCTCTTCAGCTCCCCAGGCTGGGGGTCTCCTACAGAGACCCCAGGGAGGTCCGGGACGAACTTGAACCCCTCCCGTCAGCCGGGTCTCAGTGCGTCTCCATCAGACCGAGACGCGACGCATCCGAGCGGCGAAACGCTTAAACCGGAAGTCTGATGTCTCTTTTTTGAGCTGGACTTAGGTTCTCTAATTTGTTGCCACTTTTGCTTCTGGCCTAGTCCTTTTTGCTGCTCTTCTCTCTCTTCTGCTTCGCAGAGTGTTAAAACCTTGGCTGGGTCCTTCTATCCCATGAACATCCGTTATCCTTGAACCGTGACTGTCTACCACTATGACTGTGGGTTTTTTAATGCTCACATACTGGTGCAGAAATAGGAGGCCAGATGCCACCCAGGTAGAACTTTACTACAGTTTGTAGAACTTTACTACACTTGTCCCTCCAACAGGTAAGGAAAGAGGCAGTCCCTGCCCTGCAACATTTTGTAAACCAAACTGGTGGTTGTGCAGCAGAATGAAGAAATGTGTTTGTTGCTGGATGCTGCTAGCTGCTAAGGAAAAATCTGTTTGATACGAAATACTTGATCATCCTTCCAGCCCCTCATAATAATTTCCCCTCTGTGTCAAGGTGAAAATGAAATTAAGGCAATGGTTGTGTTGTACTGTAGATGTTTTTTAGATACATACTGCTTCCATTTTAGAACCCAATAGAGAAAGTCTCCCTGTATGAAAGAGCTGCTCAGATTGATCAAATGGTCAACATAAACAGAAAGAAGCGCAATATTTCAAGATGCGAGAAGAGAGATATTCACTTTCCGGAACTGACAACAACTGGGCAACAAAAAGAGCTGAAAGGAATGGAAAGTATGTTTGTCACTTACTGTAGAGCTTTACAGATGCACCACAAGGCCATGTAGTTAACAATGGCATGTTAAGGAACGAAGCTTAAGCACCAGTATAGAAGATCTGTGGAAAATGGTCCAAAATAAAAACAAGACTCTCCTTTTGGTGAGTCAGTTGGAGTAACATCTTTCTTTTGCTAATCAAAGGCTGCATACAAACAAACCTAAAACACTGGTGTTGAAGATCGTGTTCTTCCCCAGAGGTGGGCCCAGCTTTCCATGTCTTCACAGTGCTCATCAGTAAACATATTCGCTGCTGACTTGAATGCTGATTCATTTAAACAAACAATCGTCAATACATTTCTGGAATAGCCCCATTGGACAATAATGTTTTGTCTGTGTGCTTGAAAAGTTAGCATATTCTTTGAAGGAAATAATGTATTGAAATGTTTTTGAAGGTCCCTGCCACACGGCAGGGAAAACACCTGTCAAAGTGTGGCTAATTAGAGCCGCACCAAAATAGAGATGCTGCGGGCGGGATCCCACGGATCCCGTGAGTCGCGCGCCGTTGCTCCCCGGCACGATCAGATGCCGGGGAGGAAGAGACGAGGGGGAGGCTGCCGAACTGCGCATGTGTGAGCACGCGCAGTTCGGCCGGGGGCCGGAGATGCGCCGGCGGCAAGACGCGCCAGCGATCCCACGGCCAGCCGTGATGCGGACCTACCGGATGAACCACCTAGGTAGGTGGTTCATGTTTGCTGCGGGGCTGTCGGGGGAAGGGCCGGATCGGGAACGGGCTTGCAACACTTCCCAGATGTTGCTGTGGGATCACGCCCGTTTGCTACGCCCCCGATCCGGCCCACTCCCGACCCAAAACCCCTCATGAGAACAGGGCCTTAATATGTTAAAATACATTCTATTTCTCAAGTTTTTTTACATTACGATATAAGTCAGTCCAAAATACATTTATTAATAATTCCCATAGTGAGAATGTTCAATGGAAAATGGATACAAATTTGCAGTTTCCGTAGGTTGTGTGTAAACGCATGTAATTTTAATGTTAATGCCCCTTCATTTTGTTAGAACAAGCTATCTTTATGTATGATCAGGCTCTATAACATAGCCGAGCCCTGCTGGATCAAACCAGTGGTCCATCTATTCCAGCACCCTGTTTTACACGGTGACCAACCATTTGCCCTGGAGGGCCAACACCCAAAGCTTAGTGGGCAAGGTCTTCCCTAATGTTGACTCCTAGCACTGAATTTCAAAGCCTTATTGCCTTTAAATATGGAAGTTTCCTTTACTCACCATGGCTAGTAGCCACCGATGGACTGGGGAGAACAGATTCAAAACCTTTGTAGTTGGCTGGGGATACTGTTAATTGGCTGGCGCCCCTGACAAATCCACCCTCTTCCCTTGCCCAGATATAGTTTTTTAAATCTATTTTAAAGATAGTGATTTTTAGGGGGAAACAAATGTATGTTTAATTGTACACATGATACTTTTAAAAAATGAGCCTGAAGCACAGAGGATGATGCAAGACAGATGGTAGAATCAGCATTCAAATCAATGTAAGTACAACAATTTACATGCGTTGTGAAGTCAGGGAGAAGACAGGCTAACATTGGAAGGAAAAACTCAGTGATTCTTATTTTTAAGTATATTTGTACTTAAAACAGCTATGACTGTTGTTATGCATAATTTCAACCAAAACAATTGGAGAAGAGAAATCTCAGTTGTTTTACAAAACAGCATTAAGTTTTCTTTCTAGAAGTTTTTATGTCTTGACAAAAATACGTTTAACCAAAGTTGTTGCCCAAGCTATATCTTTTGATGTATATAACTCTTTGTTTCGTGTTTATTAACTAAAATCTAAACCTGGGCGTACTCCATCCCCATTTAAGCACTTAAAGTTCTTGTGAATTTCACACATGTTCAACTTTCTTCCTTATCTTCTGCCAGACCAAGAGCTGATCAACACTCTCAAGATGTGTTCAAATGCATATAAAAGAGGAGCTACTGCACTCTGGAGATATAATACTCAGGAGATGTACTCAATGAACTCACCACATTCTTGTCAGGTGTAGCTAATCCTCTCCAGGGTTGAACCCTGGCTAAATGAGTTCTGTTGATTTGCATGGAAACTGGCCGTGCACAGTGTTGACTGGCTGGGAGTTGTGATGCCATGTGGCCCTCCCCTTTCCCAGAGCTTTTGTGCAATATTTAGCACCAGATTTTCTCCCTTTTTTAATTTAAAAGGATGAATGAACTCCAGTTGCTTAAATGTATAAGCAGCACTTTATAACAAATGTTTTAAAGGCAGACAGACCACAAGAAGGGTGGGGAGGCCAGGGTTGTTTTCTCACAGATTTCTGTTGTCTGGTGAAGGCATTTGTATGCTAGCATATGCAGTTGAAGAAAAAACAGATTTTTTAAAAAATGGCTTTCAGGAAGGGCTTCCATACCAGTGTTTGGGCTATATGGGTCTCAACACAGTTTCAGATTTTAAGAATTTCTTTTTAGGTTTTTTAAATTCCAAAAATGTTTCAGATCCATTATTCCCTATGGGGGTCTCTTTTCAGGGGATGAATGACTGTTTTTGGATAAAAAGACACCAAAATTGCAGAGGAGCTTTTTTTGCCCATACATTAAAGACCCCCCCCACCCCCCCGCTTTTTGCAAATTAGGAGTCCAGTTCTACAGGCCTGTAAACTAAGTGTCTTCTGCTTGTCTCCATTGATTCCTCTGGGGGGGAAAATCATGCTTTCTCCAAAGTAAAGAAATCAGTAGCCAAACACACAACAGCAGCCATGTCCACAAGCCTCCAAATGTAAACAAAACCAATGTAAAACTACAGAATCCCAGCAGAGCAATGGGTTAGTTTAACACAACGAATGTCAAACCACGGAATCCAATCCAAACTAATGTAAGTAAGGGATGCTGTTGCAGTTCTGTGAAACTGAAAAAAAACAGGCCTGCAAGCCTTAAATTCATTCACAAATATTTTGAGAATTTTTCAGCACCCAATTATCAAAATTCAGGAAAACCCACATATTTCCAGATACATGAATATATCCAAAAATACTAATATGGCCAACCTACAAGTAACCCTGAGGATCTGTGATCAAAGCTCCTGATCTTTTAAATTGTTTTCTAGCAACCAAAATGCATGGGGAGGGGATTAACCTCAATCAGGACAACAGTGCAGGGAAAAGGATTAAACAACCTTTTATTCATTGCTTCTGCTCTGATCAAATTCGTACATCTACACAGCAGTTGCTAAGTAAAAAATAAAAGCATCAGGACATTTGATCACTTAATGTATAGTTTGGCCCTTAGACTCATGCAAGGGCTTGCACTTGCAAAGTAAATAGGGTTGCCAACCTCCAGGTGGCACCTGGAGATCTCCCACTATTACAACTGATCTCCAGACAACCAAGATCAGTTTCCCTGGAGAAAATGGCTGCTTTGGAGGGTTGAACTTGATTCTATGGCTTTTTCCCTGCTGAGGTCCCTCCCCTCCCCAAACCCTTCCCTTCCCAGACTGCACCCCCCAAATCTCCACATATCTCTCAACCCAGAGCTGGCAGTGGCAACCCTAGTAGAACTTGTTACTTTCGCCTCTTGAAACAGTACCCCCCCCCCTGTATCATATCTCAGACAGTTTTTGAATTTCCTGTTGTTTCAACAGCAATTTGTCATGCACTCTGAAGGAAGGAGGCTTTTAATGTGGAAAATCAGGCATAAGCTCTCTTGTTGGGCCCATGAGATTAGTTTCCCAGTTTCTTGAATCGTGTAAGTTGTGTGGAAGATCAGGCTTTTTTCATGAACTAAATTCTATCACAGGGATAAACTACACATTATATGCAAATGTGAGTAACAAAGCATTGGCAGTAAAAAAATTTTAAATGAAAATCTGCCTTTGGATGCTGTGTTTTGTACCAAAGAACATTTGGGTTTGCATACATAATTCTTTATCTGCCAACTTTTTCCAGGTCAAAATCCCCACACACACTGCTCCTTTCTTTTCAGGATTCTTGTTGCTTGTTTAAATAATCTAAATTAAAATATGTTAATGACCTATTGCAGCAAAAAATAACTGCTTACCTTCTATTTCCTGAAAAGTCTGTAGACTGAGGTTTTCTTTTTTCCCTTAGCTACTGAATTAATCATTTTTAAATGCATTATGAGTAATTCACAAAAGCATTCAAATGTAGAAATAATTAGCTATTTGTTTTGTAAAAGTTAAACAGGTAAGAGTGCTGAAGAGGGAATCAAAGAAATCTGAAGTATCTAAAATACCATCTTTACTAAATGTGGATCAGAACCGTGAAAAACAAGAGGTAAATTACATTTCTTTGTTAGTACACAAAACATGTCATCTGGAGTTCAAGGCACACCTAAGCATACCTAAGATTAAATCCTATGTACATTTACTTGGAAGTAAGCACCACTGAATTCCATAGGACTTCATTCTAAGTAAACATGCATAGGATAACTGCACACTATGTCTAGATCCTCCAATAAAGTGTTTTGAAATGTGATGGTCACAAAATGATTCATTTTTGCAATGTATTGTATAGTATAGTAATACATTTAGTACTACTACTATGTGGTTTTTTCCCCTTTAGCAAGGTCATTTTATAATACACCTTTGGAAATGCAAGAACATTGGCCTTTTAGGGTGTTAGAAACTGCAAATTTGTGTTTGTGTGCTAAGTACCAGCATTTAACCATATCTCATTTTTATGTGGCAATGTATAAAGTATCCAGTTTTGCTGAATGTCAAAAATTCCCCAGAGTCTAATACCTATTAGGAGAGCATTAGTACAAAGTGAGTTTTGTATTCTGGTGGAGTAGTTTAAGAATTACACATAAATATTAAAAAGATTCTAGAGAAAAGCTAGCACATTAAGAGTATATTCTTAATACTGTTGCAGTTAAAATGTTGAATTTTATGGCCATTGTCCACATATACAATTGCAGCTTACACTTATTCTTTCCCCCTTTGTTTGCGATCCTGTGAAGAAACCTCAGTCCAAAGGAGCCTGTACATGGATATAGTTCACATCAGCCAAAAGCTGTTTCTATTGAGGCAACTGGAAGAAGTGGCACTATATCATGGAAATTGTTTCCGGCTTCTGTGTCCTGTGTGATTGCAAAGGGGTAGTTGTGTTGGCACCTTACAGATGAACAGCATTTATTTAAATATATACTTTTGTGAATCATGGCTCACTTCTTTGCCCTGCGCCTGCTTATAGCCAGATTCATCCAGGTTTCTCCATATTGTCCCGTAAATAAGAGGGATTGTGTTGAGGAAGTAAACAGATGACACACATGTATGAACTGACCTTCAGGCATTTATTGGACATCATTTGTGCGTATTTTATTTCTTGTGCCTTTAGGTTACAAACATTACACATAGAGAGATGGATTACCTGTAGTAACATATTCTAATATATCATCATGATCTTTGATGGCACATGTCTTGGTTTATTATTATTTGGACAATGAACAATATCAATTTATTGTTCCTTGAAATTTTGCTGAGTGTTTGGTTGTAGTCTGCCTAAAACAAAACCACATGGAATAATCCTAAAGATTTCTGCATTGCAAACATTAATACTTTTGAAACATAAACTATTATATTGGTTTATTCTTGGAGCAATGGTTAATAATAGTTATTTGACTCTCAGAGCTAGAGCAACCCAAAAGTCACAAGAGTTCAACTTTTGGTATTTCATTGTACTAATCATTTTCAAAACATTTTCCTTACCAGAGGGCTTTTTCATATGTTATGGGTTTTGTTTTTGTATATTCTTTTGTTGAAAGTACTATTTGACCCCCTGGTAAGAACTTGCAGTGGCTCAAGTGGTTAAGGTGCTGAACTGCAGGCTGTGGAAGGTCAGTAGTTCTGCAGTTCGAGACCCGAGTTGCCGCATGACGGAGTGAGCTCCCATCTCTAGTTCCAGCTCCTGCCAACCTAGCAGTTCGAAAGCAAGAAATTGCAAGTAGATAAATAGGTACCACTTTGGTGGGAAGGTAACAGTGTTCTGTGCACCTTGGTGTTTAGTCATGCCGGCCACATGACCATGGAAATGTCTTCGGACAGCGCTGGCTCTTCGGCTTTGAAATGGGGATGAGCACTGCAACCCTAGAGTTGGACTTGACTGGCTTTCGAGCAAAGGAACCTTTACCTTTATCTAAATCAGGCTATGAACAGATGCTATGTCTGTTGAAACAACAAAACAAGAAACAATACCCACATTGGAAGCATTGAGCTTTGCTAGAAACTTTTGACTGGTATTTCTGGCTACTGCTCAGCGGAATCTTTGATTCTTTGGTGTGTTTCCTTTACGAAGTGATATCAAGCAGAGGACCACAGACACAGGGATTTCTGCTCCTTACCCTTGCTATGCCATTTTAATCATGCCATGGAATTGCTTGAGGCTAGCAGTTCAAAATCTCCCTTACAAGCTCATCTGAGTTGACAAGTTAACACAGAGCTATCAATCACTTTGATGGTACTGAACATGCCCTTCATAACAGTGATCCCTATGCTTTCCTACCCAAAAAGATAATGTAAGATGGATAGTTGTGCATCTGGATACAGAGAGAAACTCAAAACACCTCAAACATCTGCAGAGGTATGGGAAAAGGGCAGAGAGGTTCCTCTTTGTGAATCAAACACTCTGACTCCAGTTCTTTCTTTGCCTAAGGAAAGCCCACTTCCTTTCATTGGCCTAAAGCCAAAATATCTTAGGAGCTACATAAAGAATTCATATGTCAGATGGAAACATGAAGTTAAAAATACAGTTAAAAAATCAAAACAAGCTGCTATCCCACTCACAGTAAAACCAGGATCACACCTTTTTACTATGTGGGAATGTGGGTGTGTAGGGTATGGTTACTGCCAACTAGGAGAAAGTGGTGTACATCAGCTGCAAGGATTTTGGTGTGGGATACTGCTGGCCTCTCCCACCAGATTTTAGCAAGGATAAAGCTGAAAGTTTGGTTGCTTGAGTTCGTTTTGAGTGCTGTAGAAGTCAACTGTCACCTTATGCTGCTATTTTCTTAGCCTCTAGCA